CATTCTCTTTTATCGCACATGTATAAGAAGTGACATGCTCATTAGGGTCGGTGGTCCCATTGTACTTAGGAATTTCTGGCATTCGGAATTTCTTTGGAATGGGTTTCGGAGCCGCACTTGGAGGGAAAGGCTTCTGTACGAATTTCTTTGAATCCATACCCTTTAGAATCGACGGTGCCCCCGGTATTTGGTCAACCCGGGAGTTGTATGTCTTTACTTTCTTGTCATTTGCCTCGATTTTCTTTTCTACCGATTCAATCCGTTTAGTGAGCTCCTCGAGCATTTTCATAATGGCGGGGTCAGTCCCCGATTCTTTGGCGTTCGACCTTTCCGGCATAGGTTCGGTCCTGTGGATGACTTATGGTTCGATTCTACTCGGTGTTCGGTGTTGATTTTGTAGTTGTGCTATAGCGGCTTGTTGAGCCTGTAACATTTCGAATATCAATTGGAGGCTAACTCTACCATCTTCTCCNTAGTTGTTCTATAGCGGCTTGTTGAGCCTGTAACATTTCGAATATCAATTGGAGGCTAACTCTACCATCTTCTCCGCCCTGCGTACCTCGACCACCTGATCGAACTTCCCTGCATACGCTACCTTCGGGATCAACGCCCAAATTTGTATTTAGGCGACATGTGAACTGACATCGATGAGATTTGCAATTGGTGCCCCCTCGAGGTCAGCCTGAGGCACCTCGATCCCCGTGGCGGCTATATTGTCATTTTCCCTGTGAAATCCGAGGCCGTTGTCACCATGTGTAGGCGCTGCTTGTGAGTTTGACATGTTTATCGTAAAAATAAAGATTCTTACGAGAACAAGTGTAAAGCAGTGTGTGTTATCGGAATCAGTAATAAGCAATCACTATTATCCTTGGCCCCACGGTAGGCGCCAAACTGTTTACCCTTAAAATTGGATAACAATTAAACTTATAATATGGTTCTAAGGACACGTGATTTCACTTAATACCAATTGATAAATATGAAGATTAATAACAGAAATAAACTATAAAGTAAAGCAAATCAGTGTTAGAATGGAACTCAGCCCTCAAGTTTGGATACCCTCGAACTGGTTGATGTAAGAACAATCAAAATATAACAAACTGATGAACAATAGTATAAATGAGAAAGAGAATTATATAGCTTTGATATCTGTGAAAAATGTCCCTTACAAATGATTAGAACCCTCATTTAAATAGTAGAGGAATTCCACTTATGGTATAATTCTAATTACCGAAGGAAATCCCATGATTAGCTAATTAACCGTTCCTGATTTGATCCATTCTGAGATTTACGCCATGATCCTCGACCAGTCACGGATATCTCGCCTTTCTGTTATTGTGCAATCTTCGATCTTGCTCGATGTCTGTCTCATTTGGCTTCGATCGCTACTAGCCTCGATCTCGACAGGTACCTCGATTCTGAACTAGGTACCTTATCCTCGTGATTTAGTCTGTTCTGTTAGGAGTCCATCCTTCGATGCAACCTCCCGGTCTCGGTCAAGTAGTAAAATCGGGTGGGCCCGATTTTAACCGTATACAAAGGAGGATTACGATCCTCCATAACGAGGGGTGGATCTGGCTGAGACATACCTCGTACCTCTTACAGAAGTCTATGATGACCAGATCCACCGGGTCCAGCGTAAAGGGATAAGTGTAGACAGTTAGATATCCCTCAACGTGTGTAGTAATGGCCTCCTCAGAGTCGGGGACCACTATATCCTTTTCGGCCCAGTTGCAGTCCTTTCGGACTAAGGGGAGATCATCTTCGGTGATCGAGCAAATATATCTCGATGCCTCCTCACACCGACCCTGCACCGAAGAGGGTTTCTCGACCTTGAAGTCGTCACCCACCGAACAACCCCCGGGAATGAACATCTTCAAGGGAGGTTCAGGAGCCAATTCATTGATGACCACGTTAGCAGCGGATCTCCCGAGGTCGACCACATCGGAGGTGGTTTCATTGGTTCCGACAATCGTTTGGGAAGTAGAAGCGACCTTTTGGGGAACAGATTTTGAGGTTTTTGCCATTGTTATAGGGGAAAGCTTGAAGGAGATAGAGAAATCTGGAAGCTCAGACGTGTTGGCTTGAATGGATGATGAGTACAAATTTTGCAAAGGAATTTCGAGTAACGGAGGTAAAAATGCTAGAATATGAAAAGGAGTAATGAAATCCTAAGGGTACGAGGGTAGAAGGTTTGATGTAAAGTAAAAAATGAACAAAAAAGGGGTTATTTATAGAGGTTCCGCGACGTTTCGCATCCAGGGACAGCCAACCGGCGGCTGACGCATATTTAAGGCCATTATGACATGACTAACGAGACGTTTCGGACTTTTTGTCGTTTATGTCACGGCGTATTGAAGAAGGAATCGGGGTGCTCATGTCGTTTCTCGTCAGCTTGCTCTCCGAGAAACGAGGGGACTATCTGTATACGGGTAAAAACAAGCTCATGATACACTCCGGCCTCCAATAGGGTAAAATGAGCTCGAGATATGATTGCGAAAGATTGAAATCGAAGTAAAGGTCTCATCGAGTCAGAATCCGGGGGCACGTTGCCTGCCCTCGAAAATATCGGGGTCATGATTCGATGATTCGGGATCGATCCAAATCCTGAGAGACTTCGGAGAACATTGTCGGGCAATCAAGTAAGACTAATAGAAGGCCGTAATATCCGCGACCGGGCGAATATCACGACATGGATCTCGACACGTATCGATGAAGAACCGACAATCAGTTAAAGAGAAGATTTTTTTACCTTTTATGGAGTTATACTTAGAGCAAGATTCTCCTACTATATAAAGGGGGTCTGATAATTTATTAAACACATGGTAACACTCATTCCAAAGTAATATACTACTATTTTTCACTGCTATCGTAAGCTTTTTCTCTCGTTCATCAACATTGTCCATTGTGAGCCCAGATCGGGGGTGAATGTTTCACTAAGGCTGGAATCATCCTCCTCACGTGGTTTGAATTTACTGTATCTTTACATGTCCATTCTAACTCAATTTATCGTTTTGTATCAAATTAATCTGCATATCCTTAAAACTTACAAATCTAATTTTTATCCGATTTCAAGGGTAAACATTACATATTCTTTGTTATTCATTCTAGCTCAATTTGTAATATCAAAATAAAGTATCAAATGCTCTATTTTCATAATAGGTCGTATGCAAGTTTCGAACTTTCAGCTATTATACTCTCTTTATGTAAGACTATATTTTTAAAAATATATAAAAATTAACACTAAGCATTATGCCTAGTGAATTTGCGGTTAAAAAAAATATGGGCCAAAAAATATTATCTACATATCGTAGCTCTATAAAAGCCCTAAGATTTCCCGCAAATACTAGGCATTTTCAGACAAGAAATATTGCAAAAATGATTCAGAACTATATATTAAACCCTAATTTGCATGTTTTGCATATAAATCACGTAAAAAACAGGAACACAAATTTATGGCTCCGATACTTATGATATACAACAACTCTCTTTATCCACACCCTACTAATCCTCAGATGCACAAATAGATCTTATTTTATATGAAAATCCTAGCCATTTCTGTTATAACGAAAAAGTCACATCTTAAACACTCATAATGGTGTTTATATAGGCTAGCTCTAGGATTTTACGTGGAGAAATAAATAATGGGCTCATGGGTTATCTAACACCCCTTATGGGTGGATCCGACCCAATAATATTCTTCCAACATAAACAATCCATGATCAAATTATCCAAGCATCACAGAATTAAACAAATAATGAGTCTTAAGCTTACAATAGTTTTACTACAAGGCAGCACATGTAGACCCTAACAAAGGAGGAAAACGTAATACGAAAATAAGAAGTAATTTATTTACATGTGAACGTTAGACAAGAAAACTCCAAATTACGGGGCAAAAAAATTGAACTAATCCAAATCATAGGGGCAAAATCTTCCAAATATTCCCCACCTTGGGCCTTGCATTGCACATACAAAACCACATCTCGAAACAAACTGTAAAGTAGCCAGTGTTAAGAGACCTGAGTAATACACTGCTGATAATGAAAAATTGCTCAACCCCAATATGGTGTAGCAATACCACAAACACAACCCCACTGGAATACTGGAGAGCAACTGTAGTGACAGAATTACTCCATTCACCAAATAAGCACTTCGACGTAAAGGTTCATACCACCTTTTAGATTCTACCACCATAATCACATTTGCTAATACCCACTTCATGTCTAAATATATTCCTACTACAATCATGATTGAAACAAACAAATAACAAAGAAGTTTGAATTCAAATTCATGTCAACCCCAGAAGTAGAACCCCTTTGTAGACCAAAATCAAGAAAATGCCAAAACATGTAAAAATGGAAACAACAATGATTAGTCTAGGTTAGGGTTTTGGAGATTGGTAGCCAGGGAGGGATACAAGGAATAACTTAAGATTTGGAAGAAAATGGAAATGACTTGCAAGAGCAAATGGAAAAAGTCTGCAGAGAGAACAAAGAAGAGTGTAGGTCAATGCTTTGCTTACTATCTTATATGAAAATTAACCCGAACAACCCAATGGTTCCTCAGGTCAGTTCTCGGCTACTAACTTATTTATTAAAAAAAGAATGTCCAATAGACAAGAAGATAGTGGACATACCTTGTATTTGCTAACCTTAGCCCTGCACCAATTACTAAAATTATATTGCTACCTCAAGATTTTCCTAACATTACCCTTCCCCGATTGCCCCGTCCTGGTTGGTCTAAGTAGAAATTTTCAAACATAAGAATTGCTGCTCAAGAAACAGTACTATTATTGCAGATGCCTGTTGCTTCAACAATTCAACCAAACAGAATGTTGACAAGCAAGCTGGTAGAAGTCAAGCACCAATGGATCGTCCAAGTCACAGCAATAAGCTTTAAGACTCCCGGAATAAAATAGTGTAACCAGTCCTTAATGAAGTATTAAAGTTTCGTATTCTTCATGAATAAATAACCTCAGAAGCTTGCTTCTTATCTCCTGCTAATTAAATGCAGCAAAATTTTACTAGCTCAGATGTATAGCCAGAACGGATACATGAGGGCATTCCACTTTAAACTAGAAAAGTTATTAGATTGATTGCAACTAAAGATGATCTCAACTAATCATTCGAGAGATTAACAACATTAATAAAACCAACCTTTATTAAGAGCAAGAGATGCATTTTCTCCTAGTGACAGAGCTACACTTTTGAGTTCATGGTATCAAGCCCCTGGCAACAGTGAGCAAACTGAACTTCATGATATTCTGCTCCTATGTGATCATTAGCTCTTTCTTGTTGAAGACATAATTAAGTAAATACAAGTGTGCTCTCTCTAACAGCTTAAGCTTTTAGATGAGATGGTCACACACTTCAACATTTCTGATGCACAAATTCTTTGGTTCTGTTTCTTTTTGACATGCGAGTATCCCATCAACTACTCTGTCATCACATACTTGAAAAGACTTGATTCTCGCATACAATCAACTAATTCCGTGTCAACTCCTGAAACCATAAACTTGCAGCTTGGGCAGAAAGAACTTCTTAGAAATGCGTATGATGCACCAGCTTCAACGTAGATTAAGGAATGGAGACCCTTATATAAGCAGGATTACATACTGAATCTGCAGATCTAATTCAATTCTCTTTAAGTAACACCATCTTGGGCTTATCTCTATGTACCGAGTATCAATCCTTGGGTGACAGAAACTAGACAAGATACACGGTTTCCTCAGATCAGGGTGTGTAGTAAAAGGTTTGATGAATCTGGCACAATCATCCAATATACAGGCAAAGTTAGATTCTTTGAAAGATCAATTACTACATTAGAAAGGTAACAACAGAAGAAGACACATAACTGGATCGGAAGTACTCCAAAAGAGAACAAATAGATAATACTTTTGAGATGGAAAAGAAAATATCAGAAACTTTCGTATTGCTACTATATCATCATCATAAGCCAACAATATCAATTGACTATTTCTAGGAGTCATTCAGCGTGAAAATTCACCATGAAATCCTTGAAACTTGAAAGAAAACCAAAGGGTAAAAGGCCTAGAATGGCGTACAAGTAGATAGAGATAAGAAACACCTGTATAGAATGAAACTATACCAATTTAGGAGGAAATGAGAAAGAAAAAACCTAGCAGGGCTCTCATCAAACCAGATTCTGCTGGGTGTTTTAGTGGACATCGACGTGTCCCCATCTTCTAGCCAAACCGCATCTAACAAAGCAGAATCTATTACAAGGATTAGGAGAGCAGGCCTTGCGTAAAAGAATGATGGACATAATTCGTCTCTTTAATATGAATCAAGAAGGGCCAAGAGTTCCTCAAAGGAAAATCACAGCCCTGCCAAAATATAATAAAAAGAAGTAAAGGAGATTAAGAGAGAACCTGCTGAAAAATAAATAGGAATTTTTGGACAAATTCGTCCCGATAACCATCAAGCAGCAAACAAAGTTCCTGTTAGATAATGTTAAAAACAGATATTAGATACTTCACACACACACTTTATCTTGCGAAAGAGAACCAGATTGTATGAACTTACATAACTATCTTATATTGCGAGGGAGATCAAATTGTGTGAACTACAGTGTATACATCAGGGGAAGGGGAAAGAGTTAGGAACAAGCGAATTAGTTAATTGATCCAGTTTGTCAATTATACCACAAACGTAAATTGATCCAGTTTGTCAATTATACCACAAGCGTAAATTGATCCAGTTTGTCAATTGATCCATTTTACTTTATGTAACACTCTTATCTATCTATCTATATGTATAAGAGATGTCCAGCACTATGTGGGTACTGGAAATGCGCATAACAAAAGGAGAAACAACTCTGTTCTTTCAACATGTATCTATATATATGTGAGTTATATTCGTGCAGACACACAAGCATCTTTATCTGCAAGAATGCTGGTAAATGTTTTTTCATTGATATTTTATCTAATGATATGCTTGCATCTAATATGCCAAATGACATTGACCAGCTTAGACTTTGATCAACTTCATACAAGCTATTCAGTTTGGACAAAATGACCACACCACTCATGGATACTTGAAAATTAAAGTGACATAAGTTTAAATCTCAACTAATACTTCAGGCAATATTTTGTTCGCATACCCCCTCCTCCCTTGAGCCGCTTAAGTTATCAATGATATGCCTGCATCTAATATGCCAAATGACATTGACCAGCTTAGACTTTGATCAACTTCATACAAGCTATTCAGTTAGGACAAAATGACCACACCACTCATGGATACATGAAAATTAAAGTGACATAAGTTTAAATCTCAACTAATACTTCAGGCAATATTTTGTTCGCATACCCCCTCCTCCCTTGAGCCGCTTAAGTTATCACAGCAGTAGCTAGGGGATATAAAACGGAGCTATTCCAAGAGTAAATGCAGGTATGAGAACCTTGGCTGCCAGCAAGGCAGCGACGAAATTGTAGACCTGGAATTATCAGGTTTTTACATTAAGTATTTGCTTCAACCTAATAGTCACGACAGAAGACTAACAGCTTATTTGGATGGTTGTTACCTATCATATTGTTACTTTAAGTACAATGTTTGTTTTGATTGTTACTTTAATTTTATTGTATCGTATCGTTAAATCCATCGTTATGTAACGACGAAAAGTGCCAATTTTATTGTATCGTATCGTTAAATCTATCGTTATGTAACGACGAAAAGTGCCACTTTATGAAACGACGGATTTGGTGTGGTGGCATCGTTTCTTTGCTTTTTTCCTCTCATCTTGCCATTCTTTATTATTAAATAATCATATTTTATTCTTTATCCTACTTTTTATATAATAATTCTACTCCGTATCCTATTTTTTCTTAGTAATGTTGCAACTTTATTCTTCATATTGTTAGTGCGTGACATCATGAAACGACGGCAAACGATACAATCTATCCAAACATTGTATTCATCAAACAATACAATGCAATACAGTACAATACAATACGATACATTATGAAACGACATGTAACAACAATCCAAACAAGCTGTAACTAGTATTTGTGGATAGAGACGGATAGGGAGTAATCATCACCTGTGCATGTGGGTTATGGCAAGTTGTCTGGTAGATTAGCGCGTGCAAGCTGGCAGGACACCACATCACCACAAAAGAAGTAGGAAAAGAGAAAGAGATTAACTAGAATTGTGTTAAACAGAGCAAAATAACCTACTCATGAATACATCCTTGCACACATTGTAATGACAGTAAAGAAGTAATTGCCCTTCGCGGCCTTTATTGGTTTTAACAATTGATTTAAGAGCTTACAACAACAACAACAAACCCAGTAGTTTCCCACAAGTGGGGTCTGGGGAGAGTAAGATGTACGCAGCCTTACCCCTACCCCTGGAAGGGCAGAGAGGCTGTTTTCGATAGACCCTCGGCTAGAGAATGACTGAAAAAAAACCCAGTAGTTTCCCACAAGTGGGGTCTGGGGAGAGTAAGATGTACGCAGCCTTACCCCTACCCCTGGAAGGGCAGAGAGGTTGTTTCCGATAGACCCTCAGCTAGAGAACGACTGAAAAAGAACAGGTAATTGCAACAAGTAGGAATAACAGCAAGATGAAATTGATTTAAGAGCTTACCAATAAAGAAATGCAACGGTCTCTTTTTCCTTTCCACTTCTATTTTAACGATGGAGAAGGCAGGAAGATTTGAATGAGGATCGAAGCGTTCATACCTAGAACACCACATGGGTTGGAACACAACCTTCATATTGTATCCAACACGGCCACACCTTGAAGCCTTGGAGAACAAAGCACTGTTATATTACTCGTTTCCATTACAAGCATATTCAAAGTGCAACCCTTTGGCAATACAAAAACAAAAGCCCGAAGTTAGAAAATAGAAAACATGTCCACAAATATTAGTAAAAATGTAAGATGCGCTAAGAATCAAAGAAATTGTGTCAAAATGAAAACAAAAATGGAATCAAAGTTGTTACAAGGCCCACAAGGTTCATACTGCTTTATAAAACTCTCATCTCAGCATATTCTCAATCGTTAGAGAGTGTTTGAATAAGTTGCAATGCAATAGCCACATTCTGAGTTGAAATAGATCTCTTATCATTATATACAGAACTGGAATAGAGCAGTTTCGGATAAGTTGCTCTACAAAAGCCATATAGAAACAACTACGCCTTAGCCCCAAGCAAATGGGATCGGCTATATGAGTCCAAACTCTGCCAGTATGAACTTGGTCGCATTGCCGGATCTCAGCTCAGATAAAGGAGGGTTGCAGTACGCTGCCAACCAGTGTAAAACTAGTCAATTCATGATTAATCCTCAAAACGCAAAAGCCACATCGAAAAAGATCCCTTAAAGAATATTTTCAGAAAAGGATTTAATATTTTCCCTGCAAGAGTCACATTTGAGCAGAGATCTCTTACAATTAAGAATTTAGATTTGATGTGTAAGAATTTACTTTCTGCTAGTTATGAGGGTTGCGTCAACCCATAATGGTGCTCCATTCTTATAGGCACTAAACATTTACAAATTAACCAACATTAACAAAGTCATTTCCACACAAGAAAGAACCAAAAAGAGAGAAAACACACACACATTCATATAGAAGAATTGCACAAAGGGAGAATTTAGGTTGTGAAACCTGAGGAATCTCTCAATAAAAGAAGGTTTCCTTGCCCCATGACTCAAGTATTAGCATGTTCTTGTGCTTCCGGCAAGGAGAATCAAGTAAGTAGTTTTAACAAAGTTTTGATCCCTAGTGGATATTCCTTCACTGGATTGGAGCCCTGACTTGTCTCCTGGTCAAATAAAATTGGTGTGAAAACATTTCATTGCACATCTTTCATGGAGTAAATCAAAGAAGCATTTCCAGTAGATGTGTAAGAATACATGTCTAACTGATGAAACTAAGTGTTTTGGACATCAATCATGTGAAAAGAGGCATTAATATCGTTAGATACATAAGTGAAGCAAGTGATTCTAGTCCCATAAAACACCAAAACGTAGAAACCATTTCAACCCAGGAAAGCAATTTCTTATTGGCTGAGCCCCCAAGGCTCTAGTCTAGTGTTAACTGTTAAGTATACGTGATGTTAACTGTTAAGTATACGTGATGTGTAGGTTAGGCGCATGTCACGGATTCGTACCATGCCGCAGACAAAAGCCTAGTATTTTAAGTAGAGAAGGGTAGAGAGGCAGGCCCATTATCTTCCGATTTTCGAGTCATTGGCCATTGACCTTCAGGGATTTCTCGAATTATAAAAAAAAGTTGCTATGGTTTACAACCTTGGAGCATAACAGCACATGCACGGGGTCTCTGCCACTTTTATGAATAAATACTGGCATATATGTTATGGACTTCTATCAATTTTGTGCAAAAATGTTGGCAATGAGCTAGATCTATGCCAGGTTGTATGAATAAATACAGGCACATATGCGATGGACTTCTGTCAATTTTTCTCATTAATGTTAGTGCACATGCGCGAAATAACCAGGGAATATAAAAGTTGTCAATTTTACATATAAAAGTTGTAGCACTTGTGCCAACTTATGTGCCAGCCCTCTAGTAATTACACTGTTGTGTAGCACGCACATACAGCAAAAGGCCACGCGACTGCATTAATTCCAGTTTCTTGGTATAGGTGAAGAATATGAATCATGTATTGATCATTACAAATGGAGGACATTAGTTGCTCATTGCATGATGTTGTGAAATTCAAAGAATCAACTACTTCTTTTTGGAGTTATTTGGCTACTCATTGTAAGCGCTCTCTTCTTTGGTGAGTATCGCTTCACGCATGAAGTGATCCTCGAAGCAGCATCCTCCCTATTTCCCTTAAACCATGTATGCCGACCCCCCCCCCCCATGAGAGAAAGATCAATGGGATTTTTTGTAATTTGCACCCTTAATGTATGCACTCTTTTTCAGTTCACACCTTATCCTATTTTTTTTAAAGATTTGCACCCTAATCTCTTAGCATCTGGAAAAGTCTTTCATCGATTTGCATTTTTAGATCTGCTAATTGTTTCATCCTCAAACCTACAACAGTAGAATCACCTCCAATGACCCAGAACAATTCATTCAATCCTCTTACAGCTGCAATCTCTTTCCATAATTCTCGACTGTTTTTCTATCACAAGGCCCATATACTCTAGTAAGAAAGCATTTGAAGCCAGTGTTAAGCTCTTCCATCCATACAGAAACTGTATTGATACCTAAGAAGTTGTCATAACAGTCTCATCTCCTTTTATACCACATAATGATGATACCCCACTATTACCTTGAGCCTCCATTCCAAACAAATCCATCCATCGATTTCCCCCATTTTGTTTGATGATTGAAGAATAATAATTTTTAAGCTTTGTTTTAGTGACGCAAAATATATCGGAATTCCACTTATGCACCATCAGTATTATCATCATCCTTTTGTTTCTATGGTTTAATCTCCTAAAGTTCCAAACTTCCAATAGAAAATTTTCAGCTTCATCTCTTATCAGTGACAAAACTTCTACCTCTATTCTTGCTTTCACCAAATTTTACATTGAATTCCAATAGCTGCTTTAGCTCTCTGCTACTCTACTTTTTCGGCAAAGGGCTTTTCACTGAACTAGAATTTCTATCAGACCTATTCTTTTCAATGCGTAAAAGCAACTTTAATAGATCATCTTTGTACTCCATAGCATGCAGACCAAGCTGCTTGCATAATTTCAGCATATTTCTTGACCCATATTGAAACTTCTACTTGATTCATCCTCCCTTGTGTGTTCAAAGCATCGTTTCATACCAAGGCAGCATCAAGATGCCCATGGGCTGATCGATTGTACATGCTGATCTATTAACATCATCAAAAACAAGTGTCTGCTAGCTGTCCAATATTCTCAACCTCACCCACCAGAAGGATCTCATACTTCCCTAAATTGATCTTCAAACTTGAGACTGCCTAGAAGCATAGCAGAGCACTGTTTAGATTCTAACACTAAAACACTACTGTATCATCTGCGAATGGTAGGTGGTGCACCCGTATGCTATCTTGCCTCCTCCGTTGCCCTTGAAGCCTCTGAACTAACCTACCCTTGTCGTCCTATTCATTATCTTGTCCAATGCTTTCTTAATGTGATGACCCAAAAGGTCATCTTATGTTTTAGAACTCGATTCTGCGCTCTTAAGCCTTAAAAATCTCATTTTTACCCTCCTCGATTTGTGTGCGCAGTCCGGGCGTGTTTCCGGAAAACTTTTATGTTCAAAATTGATGANTATTTTAGAACTCGAATCAGCGCTCTTAAGCCTTAAAAATCTCATTTTTATCCTCCTCGATTTGCGTGCGCAGTCTGGACAGGTTTCAGGAGAGCTTTTATGTTGAAAACTAATGAAAATAAGATTTTTTGCCTTAAAAGTTAATTTTAGTTGACTTCAATCAACACTTTTGGTAAACGGGCCCGGATCCGTTCTTTGACGGTACCGGTGGGTCCGTATCGAATTATGGGACCTGGGTGTATGCCCGGAATCGAATTCGGAGGTCCCCAGCTCGAGTTATGAATTTTTGATGAAAATTAAAAGTCTGAAAATTAATTGTTTTTAAGAATTTATTGATGTTTGGCCTTGTTGATACCGGGTCCGTATTTTGGTTCCGGAGCCCGGTATAGGTCCAGAATAATATTTATGACTTATCTGTGAAATTTGGTGAGAAACGGAGTTGGTTTGACGTGATTCGGACGTCCAGTTGAGAAAATAAAAATTTTAAAGTGTTCTTGAGAATTTTATTTGATTTGGTGCTAAATACGTAGTTCTAGGTGTTATTTCGGCGAATTGATCGCGCGAGCAAGTCCGTACGATGTTTTTAGACTTGTGTGCATGTTTGGTTTGGGGCCCTGAGGGCTCGGGTGAGTTTCGGATAGGCCACGGGATGTTTTAGACCTAAGGAAATCTAGTGTTTCTGCTGTACCTGGTATCTGATATGTCGTGCTTCGCGATCGCGAAGGGGAACCTGGGCTGGGGAGGATTTTACTCTACGCGAACGCGAGACCATGGTCGCGAACGCGGAGCATTGGGGGGAGTTGCTCTACGCGAACGCAACCCGTCGAACGCGAACGCGTAGCTTTAGCTAGGCTGGGTAGGGGACCTGGGAAGCTCTATGCGAACGCGAGCCCTGTCTCGCGAACGCGAAGGTAAGGCGGGATAAATCTTCGCGAACGCGTAAAGCCTCCCGTGATCGCGTAAGTCCTTAGGAGGCTGCCCTTCGCGAACGCGACAGTGTTCAGCACTTAAAACAGAATAAAAACGGGAATTGGCCATTTATTTCATTTTCTCAAAAACCAAACGGACTAGAGGCGATTTTCAAGAGTTGTTTTATTCCCCAAAGTGTTGGTAAGTGATTCTAAACCATTTTCTTTCAATTACTCATTACATTCTATGAATTATCAACCTAAAATCTAGAGTTTTCATGGTAGAATTAGGGATTTGGGTAGAAACTACGGATTTCGGAAATTTGGGGATTTAGACCTCAATTTGAGGTCGGATTCCAAAACCAATTATATATCCGGGCTCAAGGGTGAATGGGTAAATGGATTTTGGTCCGAACCTCGGGTTTTGACCAAGCGGGCCCGGGGTCGATTTTCGACTTTTTGGAGGAAAATTTGGGAAATCTAAATTTTTATTTTTTTTTTGATAAGGTAAATTGTATTAATCAAAAGGGAGAGAACTCCCGTGTACACAAAGTATACCAAAGACGTAGAGAATTTACATCAGAACATGATTCTCTACAAAAGACGCCCAATCTTCTATACAAGTAGGGGCTAAGTGAGTGCACCAAAAAGCGATCAAAGATAAAAGGCTATTCTTAAGATGTGAAAAAGGAGACTCAATCTCCTCAAAAGCTCTCCTATTTCTCTCCCCCCATACTACCCACATGAGAGTTAACGGAGCGAATTTCCACGCCTTTTGCTTTCTTCTTCTACGGAAACCGCCCCAGCTATATAACATTTCCTTTACAGTGCTTGGCATCACCCATTGAACACCAAAGAGATTCAGGATTGCCCTCCACAAAGCTGAGGACACAGGGCAATGCAACATAAGGTGATCAACTTCTTCTCCTAAGCTTTTACACATGTAGCACCAACTAACAAGTGTAATTCCCCTCTTTCGGAGATTTTCAGCAGTCAAAATCACTCCCCTTGCCGCTAGCCATGCAAAAAAGCAATATTTGATATTATTGAGTCGTTTTTTAATAGATACGAGTGGTTTGGAGGTGAATTCTAGAGGAAAAGCTGTGATTGAGTATTAAGTAGCCTTCGGAACGAGGTAAGTGTTGTTTCTAACCCTGACTTGAGGGAATTAGGTACCTCAGATTATTTGCTATGTGAAACTCATGTGAGCGGCGTATATGTGAGGTGACGAGTACTTATGCGCCGCCAATTTACCCGTTTTCCCTGTTTTCTCCCGTTTTTCTTACATTGTCTCTTTCTTATGCCTAATTGTTACGTGTTTAGACTAGTGTTGTTAAATTGATCGTTCTTATCATGTTTACGGATTCTCTAGTGATAATTGAGTATTTATTTCAAAGTTGAGATTGATATTGCGGAACCAAATGTTGAAGTAAGGCTTGTACTTGTTATTCGATCTTCTGTTGTTATTTATGCATTGCATTATGGTAAGGGAGAGTATTAATGCACGAAGGGTGATGTCGTGCCATATTGTGAGTGTTAATGCACGAAGGGTGAT